TTCACCTATCATTGTAGAAAAGCTCTTAGCTGCATGTTTGGTCAGCATTTTCACCTTGATATGTGTTTGATGTAACCTTGAGGTGAAATAATATAGGCTGGTAGACATCATACTTCAGGTGTATTTTCTCCTTTTTTTTCCCTGAATGATGAATGACCATTTTTGTAGTCTTGAGAGCACTAGTCAGTGAATATATGAATGACTCTTTGTTGCCCAGCCAAATGCACCCATTTTCTAGGGCCAAAATTGCACCATTAAGTTCAAAAAATTATATAAAATAACCTTGTAGTCATACTTCCACACATCTACACACATGTATATATGTATTTGATTCTTCAGAGTTGAAAGGTATTCAGTAGGAAATTTTATTTATTCAATTTCATTCATAATTCTTTAAAATTACAAATGATTTTAAAATGCTGTGAAGGAAAGCGGGAGACTGAAGCATAATTTGTTGGTATGTTGCTAGAAGAAAATGATATTTGTAAACAAATTCTGGAACAATTACAATCATAATTTTTTTATAAAGCTTGCTTTATAATTTTATATTTTATTTGGATTGTGATGTTGCATTATGATAGGAAAAGACATGTCTTTCATAGAACAAAATGAGATCCAAAATGTGTATGTCAAATCATTTTGCACTCGACCCTATGAAGTTTTGCATTGCCAAGAAGGCCACTGTGTTAGGTCTTCCTGATCTAATTTACTCTTGAATGGGCAAAGAAAATCACCAAAACAAAATGTAAAAAAAGTTTATAAACAAAGATAAAATGCATTTAAAACTTATTAACAATTTTAAAACAAGTTAGTTTGCTTATAATACTGATATGATAAAATAGTTATTTTTAATTTAAGCAAGTGATCAAAAACAAAGATGAGACCCATTGTTAGCTCATTTCTAGACCTGTCCAAAGTCACCAAAACAATTTACTACCACAAATCATAAAGTCCAAGTCCATATTTCAGTTACGTGCTTTTATATCAAGAACAACAATATTTGCAACTTTCTTGTGGAATTTCAAACAATAGCCCAAACCCAGTAGAGAACTTTTCCCAACTTCACGAAGCTGAACAGATCTAAACCATGCTTCAGAAGCCATTCATAGCATACCTTGACCAAAGTTTTACATCCTGGAAAGTGAATTTCCATTTTTTACAACTTTAAGTTTTAATGAACACAGGTGAATTTATGGAAGCACATTTTATTTTGATAATATGTTTTTTTAGTTCATTTTTTCTCATTGATCTCTTAACTTCTAGTTCTGAAATTTTGGCAATTTCGAGCAATTCATTTTTGTTATATTTTTTTAGTTGTTCTAGGGAGGGTGATGCAAGAAAATCTTGATAATCAGACATGATCAAATCTTGTTGGCACAGATAAATATAAATTCATTTATGATTTCAATTTCAATTTAGATCGAATTTTGTCTCTGATTCACATCTCGGACACGAGCCCCCAATTTATTATGTTACATATTAGAATTTTGAATAGTTCGAAGCCAAGTTAATTGATAATCTAAATTTAGTAGTTAAGTTGTATGTTGGATTTAGTATTTAGATATGCCAATATATTAGTCAATTTACGATATTTGCCAACAAGATTGATACACACCGTTTTCGTTTTTAACACAAATACGTATTAATATACACACAACAGTACAATTTACAATAACAGTTATTACAAATAGTTATTAC